ACTCTTATTTGTTTGCTGAAAGGGCAGTGGAAATGTGTTAGCTTTAATGTGAATGGAACCCTAACGACGGGGTTAAAAGGAAAAAGTCCTTTGACACACTGAAAAACTGTCAATTGAAATATGCCTTCTTTTATACAAGAAACCATCTTACCACACAGGCGCATAAGAAACTGGACGAGAGAGAATGGGTAGGGACATGTAGTTTCCCCAATCATCCTTTTCATTTCAAAGCCAGGAGGTAGCTTATTTTAATAAATAAAAACACCTCCCGGACGATGAAGAAGTATTTATTGATCCATCAAGTTCCATATGTATTAGTTAATTGTCAGATTTTAACTCAGAACCCTGGCACTTTTAAACTTAATACGCACCGCAACATGATGATGCACCTTTATTCAGATATCTCTTCTAAGGATAGGGACGAACAAAAAACCAACTGGTAGGGGGTGGATTACATTTTTGGATCCTAGTTTCGGTAAGTCATCCTTGGCAGTATCTAAATCAAAAGCTGCCAAAACCACCCTGGCATTTATGAAAGATCTAACTTTGACAGATGTTTGGAGACAGATGCACCCTCAAAGCAGAGACTACTCTCTCTTTTCCTCCATACCCAAATCTTTAAAAATCGGGGCTGCAACTGAGCTGATTATTATTTGAATTTTTCTGACGTCAGAAAAGGGGTGCTCCGCCTATATGGGCAACTCTCCACCTATCAGGGGAATGAGAGACCGCTCGAAAGCGCTGGAGACGCTGTAGTACATATGCCAGGCCTGTAGGTGGCGCTGCCACAAAAGCAGAATCAGCCCCTGCAAAAACAGGGCTGGAAAAGAGCAAATAGAGCGAAATGAGGCATGGCTAAAATGCATGATCTGTTTGGTATTTTCAAAAAAAGACTTCACAGACATGTTTTATATAGGTATGGCCCTACAATATATGTTTCAAATATAGCACGATAGGTCCACTTTAAGTTTGTAATTATGGTTGGGATTTTGTTCATGGGCTTATTTTTGGATGGTTTTGAAGTGTGGTCGTACTCTGTCACTAAGCACTTGTAGTTAAGTGTATGTGTCATAATCTTGTTTTCTTCCCCACGTCATCTTTAAGCTCGGGTTGTCAGGTCGGAGGCTGACGGCTCCTTCACCCTCACCTTGTCCGTCCCTGAGCTGGAGATGGCCTTCGGGAAAAAGTTCAAGTCCAAGACTAAGTAAAAAAGAGAAAGAAGCACATGTGACCGCTCAGCCTTGCCTTTCTTTTGCCAACATCACCTGGATCTTTTCCAGACCACTGGAAACCTCTGCCACCAGCTGTCAAACTGCTCTGACAGTTTCTGTTGCTCCTCTGCCACCACCTGTCATCACTTGCTTCTTTTTTTCATATTCTTGTCTTCTCTGGTTGACTGTCTCCCAGATTTAGCTGTTGTTGCTCTCTGGTCCCTACAATAGTCTGAATAATAACACATATGGTCCACATACAGGGACATAAGACCTCCAGAATATATTTTTTAAATCCTTTGATTAACAGAAATAAGGAGTGAAACGTTGACAAGACTTTGAAATAACTCAAGGCTAAAATAAACCATGCTTTTTTAACCCAGAACAATAAACAGCATATAATATACACTTTCCAAAATAGACAACCAAAATGCAAAGGAGCAGGCCTTGAACTCTGCTTCTATCGTTTGTTTGAATCCTAGCAACAACTCTACCTCTCCTGCCTTTGAATCTGATTGGACGGGATGAAACTCTCCCCCTTTCACCTGCTCAAGTACTCCATCTTCTTTTGGCTGCACTATGAACCTGCATACACCTTCATGATCTGTGGTTTCTCCCAGCACTAGATCGATGCTACAATCTTTTCTTGGTCCACTTTATTTCTGTTTTTCTTGGCTTTTTTTCTCCTATGATCATTATATTTTCCTGACCTTCTGTTTTTGCTGTTCTTGCGTTGCTTGGAGGGTTTTTGGCCGCCTCAGCTGAACCTGTGTCCTCTCCTTTACTCTTTCAAATACTGCTCTTTTCCAAAGTTGGATTGTTCATTCAAAACAGTTGCCCTGCATCCCCAATTTGTTTGTTAAAACTTCACGCACCACTAAAGTACAGTGTAAACTGAAAGGGTAGAGGCCTCTAAAGGCCAATGCGATGATTTATACACAAAACTATGTGAAGCCATTTCAATTCATAGTCATTACTTGGCGCAAGTTGCTTATTGATCACAAATTCAGTATTGATTATTAATATTACAAACTAGGGGTCAAGTGGGGGGCTTACGCTATTTTGGGGCAGAAGTGGATCAATTCCTGCTCTCATTCGAGTTTAACCTTTGACTGTTGTTATTTTTTCCTTCAGGAGCTCCTGCTAGAGCCCTTTGCAGCCACTTGAATAAATGGTGTTGCAACTCTAATCCTTCTTTCCTTTTCTGATAGCTTCTTTCTGTTGCCTCTCTTTGCCTACTCATGTAAAGCAACAAAAGGGCCAACTTTGCTCTGTTGTTGCTGTCTACGATGCGTATGCTGATGAATCACAGTCCTGCGTCTGTTTTTCTAATGGTTTTCTTTGTCCCTATTTACCTCCCTCTCTTCTTCCCTCTCATCCTTTCACCTCTGTTTTTCTTCTTCTGTCTGATCTAATCTCCTCTATTTACAGTAAGAAAGAGAAGGCTTGAGGGAGGTCCCATTTTCCCCAAGTGTCGGACAAATATATAGAAACCAGGGCGCCCATCAACCCTCCGTTCCCCTTCGACCCGGACCATCCTCTAAACACCTTCCTGTAACCCTCTCCGGCCTGACACCCTCCGGTGGCAGAAAACAACAACCATCACGTCACCATGTTGTCTCTGAACTCTTTTTTCCAGAAATGTTTTGGTAGATATTAAAGGATATCATGGATTCATCAGCAGTGTCATTCAAAGCTTTCAGGCCATGCAAAAGGTACAATTATGTACCTATTTTTGCACTCTGATGTTTGATTTTTACTCGAGTTACAGGCGTGGATATTTGCTGTAGCTGTTTGGATAAACTCTTGTATCCTTTAATATCCCTTTAAGTGTCTAGATCCTTAAAAAAGGGGGCTGGAGGCCTGGTTTTGAACAGAAGCACATTGAAATGGGACAGGAGACTTTTTTTGAAATCGCTGTTACCATTGATGAGTTGAATTAATTTGAATTATTATGCTGTAAATTAGTTGTGCTGCCATTACTGTTGTTCCCTAAAGTGTCTGATGTTGTTTCGAGCTCGACATACAAGATATTTTCTACCAATTATTCACAAAAGCCAATGTCCCATTTGAATTTGATAGACCTTAACATTGTCTTGGTGACTCAGTGCTCAGAGGCTATACAGATCCTTCAGTAATGGACAGTAGATTTATAAACCTGGTTACTGTGAGATTTGTCGCTATATAGAGAATATATTTATTTGTGACGGACCTGGGAAAGAGTCAGAAGCCATTCAAATACTTTTTGCTGGATAGTGTAACGTCTTGTCTAAAAAGGTTTCTGTAAATGAAACTAATGACACTTTACATCGTTAAATTATCCAGCAATATACAAGCAATCTCTGCAGAGCATTCCTGCCAGCTGGGATTAGAAACTGAGTTATTTACTGACAATAGATATTCTATGAACCCACTGTAAAAAAACAACAACCTACAAACACTGTGTTGTTTTATTGAATTTACTGTCTACTGTTAATTATATACGATAGTCTATAAGAACCCAAACTGAGTATTTGATTGGACTTCTGTTACACTTTCTACCAAGTCTGGTTTGTTGATTGTTTGTGTTTTTATTTTTATTTACTGGAGCTAAAACATGTGGTTTATTACAAAATGGTTGGTAATGTTGACTTACTGTTGATTAAAGGTTTCATATTAAAGCCTCAATCCAGGTTTCAATAACAGACAGTAGACGACGATTTAAAAACACAGAAAACCTCTAATGTCATCACAGCTGTCAGATTACCTAAATCCATCAAAGTTATTCAAAATAAAAATACTTTTAGCTGTTTCAAAATGCTTGTTATCTTTGTGATGAGTTAACAACCTAACGTCTGAAATATGGTATAACACTTTGATACTGGATGGATCCTTTAATGGTTCACAAGGGTGATTTACGGTTCCAACTCTGACTACACATCCACATGCTGGTAATGATGAACTCTACTGTGTATTTTGCAAAACTTTAAACATTAACAGCATAATGAGAAAAAGGAGGTGTTAGCTGCTATGTAACCAGGAACTTGAGCTAATATGTTGCTGTCTGAAAATAAATTTGCTCCAGTAAAAATCCTTGGAAAACTGTCTGTTACGTTGTAATGTCTCAAGGTGAAACAGGTCTGTATTTTTTGGCTTAAAGAAAATGGGTCCCCTATTATACTATTTTTCAACAATATAATATAGGTCTCAGTTATATACAAAACATGTCTCTGAAGTGTTTGGCTCGAAATGCCAAACAGATAATGCATTGTGGCATCCCATAATCCCCTCTGTTTCAGCCCTGTTTCAAAAGTGTTGATTCTGTGTCTAGTTTTAAATGCTAATGAGCTGCTGCTGGCCACGCCCCTCTGCTAGATTATTGGTTTGAAAACACAATGGAGATTCAAGTGATAAGGTGGGCGGGTTTTACCTTGGTTTGTTATTGGTTAATGGTTGTACAACTTTGTGACATCACAAAGTGGCCTAAATCTGATCAGCTCATTTTTAGACAGGTTTTTATATAAATTGATCAGGACAAAAAGTGAGCAAATCTTTTTTCCTGAAACTTTCCGAATCTCTTTACACAGAGGGGACACATGTTTACGTATAAAAGACACGACGAAGGGGATTTTGCATAATAGGTGACCTTTAATGTTGCAGAATCAAGGAAAAATCTTAGCTGACCGTACCATTCTTGTTTCCTTGATGTCAACAACTGTACCTGATATTGACAGCCTTTTTGAGGGTCAGATAACCCTTTTAATGTTATTTAATGTCACCGCTTTGTTACTGTTGTCAGTGCTGTGGGTGATGTTCAACAAATGGAAGTTATAGATGTAAACATTTGTCAAACAGGTACAACTGAATGCTAAAGGCAAAAGAGGATGTGGACTTGTGCTACTCTTCAAAAGTCTTTGTTGTGTCCAGTTTCTGTCCAGTGTTTTCTGATATTTTAGTGCTTGACTCTGTATTACATTAGATAGTTCATATTTTTTGGTTGAATGTTGTTTAATAAATAAATAAAGCTTGAAAATATTTCGTTTTCTTGAACTGCCAAAGCATTTGTGTGGACATGTGCAGTGCTGTGTTATTGACAACAGTGATACTCAGTGGATAAATGGAATAAATACACCAGGTCAGTTCAGTTGGGCTGCCGTCTCTCCCTATGCTGCCCTCTTCAGAAAAACATTAGTGTTACACTTCTGTTAACTGCACAAAGGCAGTGGTCAAATATTCTGAATGTTGATCCATTGAAAATAAGTTGTATCAACATACACCAAGTTGTTGCTTGACAGCCAAAATACAACTGAAAGATCTTGTGACTATTTCATTGAAATATTGAAAAAAAATTTCATGGTATTTGTGATATTGGGCTATATAAATAAAATGTGATTGCTTGATTGAATTTGAGGATTCTGGGTACTATTACAGCTCTTATGATATTTCTTTCAGACCATACAATTTATTATTGTGTTACATTTTTGGAACATAGTTTAGTATGAATGTTACGAGCATTTTTTACCAAACGTAGTGGTGTAGAACAATCAGTATTTATAATGTTATACTGTACTCTGACTTTTCTTTTGAACGGCTAATGATATACTATACTTTTACTTTGAATGGTCTTTCTATGACATGTTATACTAGGAACCTTATGTGTCATACTTTACTATGACCATTTAAGGTATTTTTCGGACATACTCTGACTTTTTCTAAAAGTTTGACTCATTTCTGATTCTTTCATGACATAATGAGGTTCTTAGTAAATGTCTTATGACACACTATATGCATAGCCTTTTGAATTACTCTTTTTATGATTAACTATACCATGGCCTTTTTAATGACATTTTTATATACTGTAGCTTTTTCCAAGACTCAATATTCTATAACTTTTTTTATTTTATATTATATTGTGACCCTTTTGATCAAATCATTTTCATCATCATCATCATCATCATCATCATCATCATCATCATCATCATACCTAGGACCTTTACTCTCTTTGATATTTCATTTAAATATTTATGAAGCACTTTTTTTAAATTACATACTATACTGGGATTTATTTGTCTTCATAATGCTGTGACAAAAAGTGTTCCCTAATTGGGAATAATAAAGTAAATATAGTCTAATCTTAGAAGATGACACATTTGAATGTCTGTGAACAAGGTTTTACGTTTTTATTGAATCTCAGGCAGAAACATACATGATAATCCTTTATTGCTCAATGGCATTCCACGTCGCACTCAGCGGCCTGTTCTTACATTCAACCCAACAATAAGTTAAACTGAATCAAGCATCACTTCCCGTCTGGTTGTACTGTGTAACTAAATAGCATAGTAATATAATATAGTAGCCAAACTTGCTCTGTGTAAGTGTGTATTGAGGGAGGGTCTCTTTGTCGCAAATCTCCACATGATGCAAAATCCAGCCCACTTTCAAGTTTATACTGCTTATTATGAATACATATTTCTTCTTAATTATACAGATTCATTCACTATTCTCTCCCTAGTAGTATGCCCTGATAGTAGTATTATATATATATATATATAAGTTCTGGATTTATGGCTGAAAGCTTAAGGTTTTGGCTATTGTATGAATGGCTACACTGTCATTCTTCATTGAGACAATGAAACATCAAAAAAAAGAAACCCTGCAAACCTGTAAAGGAAATTTCCTGAATGCATACATATCGTTTTTTTAAATTACTGATATTGTTAACGATTATATTGACATGAAAGTGAAAACACACACAAACTTAGGAGTTATTGCCTTAATATTTTTTGCATGACAAAGAAGAGGATAAAAGGAGAGGGTGAGTTTTTACATATTCACACAACAAACATGTCCAGACAAATGGCATGCAAGACATAAAAAGGAGACGCACTGAACAAGGGGAATAGAAACAGTTTTAAACACTACACTACATGAATGGTATTACACTTATGTGTAGGGCAGATAGACAGGTCTGACATAGAATGTGTAACACTGTGTGCAAAAAGTTTTACATAAGTTTCAGACATGGTCGAACACAAAACAGTAGCTTTAGGAGCACACAACAGAAGTCTTTACATTTCCTTTTTAAAATATGGCTTATCAAGTTATCACATCTTTTTTTATTCTAGAGACAGACACACAGTTAGTATAATAATTTCATATCATATTTTATGATTGTTTGCCCACCATTAGGCTTGTATTGTATTCATTTACTTATGTACAAATCGAGTGAACAGCGTGGTGGACAAGGTTATTTTTCAGTGCTGCGCGAGAGCTCTGCAGAGTAGAGTCAAAGGAATTTTAAATGTCTCAAACTAGAAGGATAAACCATCTAACGTTGTGTTTTTTTAGCCCCCCTGTTTGAAGTTAGCTTAAATATTGTAACATAGCTAACGTTAACATGACTCAAGCTAACTTTGACCTGGCTGTTTAAAGGCTAATATTCACACTGTTGGTTGACATCTGATTAATTTCCCCACCGTAAAACTTCTCCAAAAACCATAAACCACATCGAAATTAAACTTTATTTTATGGACTTTCGTAGAAATGTTCACATCTTTCATTTGTGTGGGAAAATGTTTGATTCAAGCCAACAGTGTGAGTTTAACCTTCGAATTAAGCTAGAAAAACGTTAGCATAAGCTAGCAAGCTAGCCTACTTCTTCAGCATGTCTTGCAGTGGGCCTGGCAGGTATTTCATCACTGTGTCCATGATACTCTCCTCTTCCTCCTCGTCGCCACACCCGGCCGGCACCAGCTTCTTGGGTCGAGTCAAGCTGCCCTCTGCAGGCTCCTCTGCAGCAGCTGCTGCCTCGGCCTCGGCCTCCTCGCGCTTTTTCAAGCCATACTGTTGTACAAACACAGAAATAGAAATATGTGGAAGATTAAAGGAAATGCAGGCCAGGAAAAATAACATAAATACAGGACTCTGCATAAATAATATAAAACGACATAAATTTAATTTGGATTTAATTGAAATTAAATGATGATCCTTGGGAGGCGTGTTTTGTTTGAAAAACCAGGCACTTGAATTTTGTGGCGCCAGGTCTTCCAGGAGTAAAACACCTCGGATGATGAAGTGTAACTTTTATAGTAACTCCAATCCAACATGAATGTGACAAAATGCACACAAACTGCTACTTATCCATTTGATCAGACATTTAGATTATCCCAATCCCATGGCGCCTTTTACAAGTTCTCGTGTTTTTAGCAGCTGTTAACCCTTCTTCTTTCTCTTGTTCTTTAAATTGTTTCTCCTTCAGCAAAGTTTAAGATCACGTCAGAATCATAGTAAAAGTATGCTGCTTTTCAATGTTCACACTGAGAAGTATTTATTTTAAAGGCATAAATCAAAAATCAGGACAAAACACTGCTAATAATGGCATTTAGTTCCCCCACAACTGCAGGAAAACAGCTTATGACACTTATATGTGTCATACGCTGCTCTATATATAGTCGGAACTTGTGTATACTTCAGCTATTAAACATTTCTCGCAGCATCTTACACAGCAGGATAAAGCTCTGGAAAGCGCTGACAGAAATCCTTTCGGAAACGAGCACTCTGGGAGTTGTTCCTCGCTATTTGTTCTCCTCCGGGATAACTTAAGAAGAATGAAGGAGCTGAGGAGCCTGGGGAGGAGTGAGGCTTTTTTATCCCAATGATTCACAGTATTCCCCTCAGAGCTGCCCCACCCACACACTGCCTGTCGTTCACACTGTTTCTGCAGTGAGGTGCTTACACTGCAGCCATCCCTGCACACCCCCAGCCTCACCGTTGTGGAGAGGAAAAGTTACAGCAACACTATCTGAGTATGACCTTACTCCAACTGTAGGCAATTAAGTATGCATCATACTAACAATGGCTAGATATTGCTTTTTATAAAGAAAACTATTTCAAAATATATGCTACAACATTTATAAATGATAAACCTGAAACTATTTCATTATTGCAGTTCACTGGAACCCTTCATTGAAAAATGCAGGACAGCAGTTTGTAAAACAGACCCACCCATTTCTGTCTAAGAATTATAATTTATTCTTATGAATCATAGCGCCTCATTCTGCTAATTTATTGCTTTCTCAATCAATTCTACTCTCTTTATCCTGTACAGCTCCCTCCTGATCCTCCTGTGATCTATTTTTAAATTACATAAAAGCAAACAGAAATAGTCTGATGGTAGTCCGTGTCAAACGCAAGTCTGTTATAAAAAGGGTTTGGCTGTCATGCAGCCAAGATGAGAAGCCTTTAGAAGCTACTTAAACATGAAAAGACAGGATGTGATCCAAAATTATCAAAACTTCTTACATGGATGTGAGAAAATCTTTGTCATTTGTGCTTGTCAGTTTTCTTCCTCTCCAATTTTGCATTGACATTTCTGTTAAAAAGCACATCTTTCTTTGAATGTGTTGCTGCATTCCTGATTAAAACACAGTGACTGACTCCGTTCCTTGTGTTGGTTTAATGTTAACTTATTTTACATTACGTTTTTAGAAACCATGTAATCGTGAATATACCTTATCTCTGATGCCTTGCCTCATGCCTTCCCTCTCAGCCTCCATCTTGGCATATTTGCCCTTCCTCTCATCCTCCTGCTGCCTCAGCGCCTCCTGTCTCTCCTCCTCCTTGCTGGCTGCGTCGGGGTCCTCCTCCTTCTCCTCCCCACCCAGCATCTTGCCCACATCAGGGGGACCTCCTGTTAGAGAGAGAAAGAAATAAAAGAAATAAATAGGACACAACGGCAGCTCCTCTAGGACAGAGATGTCAAAATATCAAATGAGTCTGGGAGACGCTGCAGAGAATTTGGAAACAAGATAAGCAGGCACTTATGGGACTTACAGAAAGAGAGATGCATTTACAAAGTTTTGCTTAAGCCATTTACAGCATTGAAACTGTTCGGTGTTTGTTGCTTTTTTTACTAAAGCCTCATCACATTTCACATTTTCTATATTTCAATAAGTTCAAATGTGTTTTTGTTCAATTCATTTCCATACATCTAAATCCTTTCTCAAAGACCACTCCACAATACACTTTATATAATTCTAATGGAAAAATAATCCCTTTATTTAAAGAAACACGCAGGGTGAAAAAATGATATTGAAATCAATTGTTGTTACTTTTTATATGAACTAACTATTTCATTATTAACCTCCCCCCACACATTTATAGAAAGACACGACCTTGAGTTCCTCATTGGCTCCTATAGCCCTGGTGGTTTGGAGGTCAAGAGATGTGAGAGAGTAACAACACGAATGGGACTATGTGCTGATTACACAACAGGGCACGAGCCTGGAATATGTCTTACGCAAGTCGTTTTACTGTCCATGTAGAATTCGTACATCCCATGAAATAACGCCTTGTGATACAAAAGCAGGAAAATGCTGAGCCTTGCGAACAAGAATAAGCTGTCACCGAGCATCAACAGAAAAGAAAAAGATGAGGAGAAAAGCCAAAGGTCTTAGGGATTTGGGCAAATACAGGAGCAGATGAGTAGCAAAGAAGAGGTGGGGGGTGGTGAAAGGAGCAGAACAAATAAGGACTGGAGAGATAGTGAGTCAGTATGCGGCTGAATTTTGCGACAAAAAAAGCATATTTAGGAAAAACAGAGAGAGCATGAGGAGAGGGAGAGAATCTGTCAGAAACTATTGAGTCCTATTAGCTGAGCGGTTCCAGTTAGTGGGATTACCCCGCCGTTTCTGTGGGACCGGGGAGAGAGAGGGAGAGAGTGTGACAGCTGAATAAATGGAGTCAGGGAAGGAAGGAAACATGTGATAAAGGAAGGAAAATGAAAGGGAAAGTCAGGAGGATGAGGAGGGGAAAGGTTGAGAGGCAGACTAGGGGCATCTGAGGAGAGAAAGCAAGCAACCTAGAAAGAAAGACAGAGTACTTCTTCTGTCTGCAGCTGCCCCCGGTGTCCTTCACATTTTTGACTCCTCAGCATAACGAAAAACAAACTGCAGCAACTGCTTAGAGATAAAAGACAGGAGAGGATAAAGTGGGGAGAGATAAATGCAATGAAGGATAAAAGGAAATGGTAGAAAAAGAAATGAAAACACCAGGAAAACTGCAGGCTATAAACACTAAAAAAAAAGTTGGAGCAATTATTTCTAGGACCCATTTCTAGGATCTCTTTTTTATATATATTATTTTATACTGTGGTGGCTATGCAGAACTGTATGAGACATCTTTCAAATCAAAAAAGGAAACTGTACTAATAATGAGCAAAGTAGGCATTTTATTACCATAGAATGTTTTGCCGACAAACATCTGATTGCAAATCACATATGGTTATATCTAAATTAACTGTACACACATGAAGGGCACTGAACTCTGAGGCTTACCGGTATACTGGATTACGTTAATAACGTTATCTCCTTGCGTCCTTCCTCTGAAATAGTTTATTGGCAACTTGAACAACTATTAATGTTGCCGTAACGTAGATCCAACTAGTAAACATTAACTTGCATTTTCTCTGCTGACCTTCTGGAAATCACATTAGGGTTTTACATGTCTGCTGCATTAATGCAAATATTGTTAAATGAGATTGAATTGGCTTTCCAAGTCTGTATAGAAAGAGAACTAACTGTATTATTAGTGAAATGCAAAAATAGGAAGAAGACATTTCAGATTGACTTTAATATAACATGCACAATTTCATATGAACACCAACGTAGGATGTGATCTTTTACCATATGACCTGGATAAGTTTTAATTGTAGGTGGTCACAAACTTTAGACACTTACATTTTAACATTTGTACTTGTTTGTATTACACAGCCAACTGGGGTAGTGTGTTTGCGAAATGGTGGACAAGGAAAATAAAATGGCCACCAACAGAGACTTCAAATGCACCACATCAGCTATTTGGTTTAATCTTCTTTTTCTTTATGTTTGTTGTATTCTTTTCCAGTTCTTGTTGTTGGTTTACAGTACTTCACTGTAAAATATATATGAAAAGATGATTTGCATGTCAAAAAAAGCAATCATTGCTGCTTACACCACACTACAAATAAGCGTGAGTTTTAGGAGTTGTAGAACACAATCGGGGCTCCACATCAAAGATGTAAACTGAATAAAAGGAATAAATCAAACTGTAATTCAGTCACATTAATGAACCACTTGGATTCAAGTGAAAGACACAGATGAGACAGACATTCACAGAGAGAAATCCAAAGAAAACTGAGGTAATTGCTGTAGCCACATTTGATAAACAGTACAGATAAGCTGACATAGCATTGTCTGCCTCACCATTTATATCTGTAAGTGTGTGTGTGCGTGAGAGAGGAAGACAGTGGGGACTAGAAGGATGAATGGACCTAAAGAGTGTATACAGCGAGTCTCCCTATATGTAGGTATAAATAATTGCTTAGTTCCATTTTAGGCTCTCACGCATGAGTTATTGTGTGGCTGAGCAATTACTTCTCATGTGTGTTTGAATGTGTGCGTGTCCATGTACAGTATAAGTAAATGTGGATACACATTATGCATGCAAAATATCTGGTGTGACTTAGCATTAATGATACAATTTAAAATGCAAAGAATTTTTGAGATAGTGCCTCATACCTCATACCAAAGTGTGACTGAACTTTAATCACCATTTTCCGTACACATAGTGTATAGAGAGTCTGTTTTATCCTTATTGTGTTGCTAGGAAACAGCTTGCATCCAAGTTTATTTTATCAGCACAAGCAAATATTCTGACAGTGTTCAAATTGAACCAATTAAGAGTTTGTAGCTGAGTACCGCTTTTTCTTTGATTTGTGATTTAGTCAGCAAAACAATGGAGTTTCAAATTCAAATTCATGTTTACATGCATTAATATCCTCAGTGATGTCAGAATATATAGCTCAGAAATTCAAAGACTGGCTCCCGCGTAAGAGCTTATCTGAGACGCAGCAAACAGGATTCAGGATCAGTTTATGATCTGGGTACCTGAATATCTTCATTACACTCCTTGTAAACAGCGCTATTGAATCCTGTAAGTGGAGCAATGACTCACACCCAGCTAAGTCTCGATTTCAAAAGATTCCCATCCCATGCAATGCCCAGAAAAAAGCCCTCCAGAACCTCTTCTAACTGCACACTGCCAAACCAAAACAAACTGGGCTGGTTTCACAAAATCTTATTAGCACATTCAGATCGTCTTTATTCAAATGTAGGAGAAAAAAAAGAGGCAGATCCTGAGAGACAAAGCCCTGAGTTATATTGAGCTATGATCCCTGCTCACGCTTTGTGAGCCATTTTAGAGATACAGCAATGTCCTTTCAAACCGGAATAATTCCATTAAGCTCTGAGGCATCGCATAAGCTGTGTGGAGCTATGTTTTTGAATAAAGCATCTTTACACTCTATCCCTTCACACTCTATATGGTTATAGTAGTAATAGGAATCACTTCATATAGAAGCTACTAAAAGCCTGTAATGAAAAGCTGACTAGTTGGACTTTAGCCTCCACATTGTATTAGGTGAGTCAGATCGGAAAATACTCCACCCTACCAATCAAAAGTATATCATTTGTGTACAATTGGACTGTTTAGGAGATCTCTGGCAGGTCTGCACCACTGGCTGTTACGCATTAATGTAACATAATAATGTTGGTCAAATACACAAGCCTTTTCTAAATTACGATCAGTTATCCCTGGGTTGAGGTGATTTGTCCTGAAACCAAATTCTACTTTTCAAGATACTTTACTGCAGAAACAATCTCCTTCCAACTTTCCCAGCCGAGTTAAAGCTATCCAATGATTATTTTCTCGATACTTGGACATTGTTTCAATGCTTGGATGAAAATTCTCATCTCGTTAATCCTTTCCTTCAGAAAGTTCTTCGCTAAATCTTTGTTAAATCCAAAGTCTCCAGGGAAGAGGAAAGAAGACTAACCTTAGCTCCCCCAGTGTTTGAACCTTTGACAGCATCAGATAAACAGTACTTATATTTTTTTCTTCACTTCAGGTTCTCAAGGCAAATCCCTTCTGTAAATCCAAAGTGTGGTGAGAAAGCGGATGAATGTAAAGATCTAGGGTTGGCCTCCTGGGCAGACATTGTTGTCTCAACACACCATCAAATAGCAGAATATATGTGGAAGGGGGACAAAGTCAGACGGCTTACATTTGCATTGGGAGTTCATACATATTTAAAAGTTCAGTTCTTGTTGTGAGTGGACATAGCATTATCATCTTCATACAATAGCTCAATTTTAAGTGCGGGGAAACCATGGTGTTGGATTTGAATCTGTTGAGACTAAAACAGCCTGCCACAAGTTCAGCACACAATTTATATAGCAGGAGGTGGGTCCTGGTAAATAATATTGATTTACGCCTTTAATCAAGATGATGAACAGAATGGGGCTGATGTTGCATCCCTGTTTTACTTTAGTTTCCTCCTTTAAAATGATTAATTGCAATGTGTTTGGTAAATACCAAGGAATGAAACACATTTGGTTGCTTTAAGAGCAGGAGCAACACATTTATATATGTGTAAAATACTTTTCTTTTATATAAAAAGGTCATATAAACTGGCATGCTTCCAATAAAAACAGCCCTCCTCTCTCTCTGTGTCTCAGTGTGCGTGACTTGGATGGTTGAATGCATTATTTATAGGATCTGGACATGCTGTCAGACACACATGCTTAGACACACGCAAATGTTTTACTGTAGGAGGAGCTCAAGGTCAATTTGATGAGCTGAATTTGATT